TCCTCCTGGCAGCGGGGAGGTGAAGGGGAAACCCCACGCGCTGGCATCCTTTTGGCAAGGGGCAGCTGGGCCGGTTGCAGGGGCAGAATTAATGAACGACCTGCGTTAACGGCAAGGGTTAGACCCGCGTTTTCACTCTTTACAAGGTGCGTGGTGGCATCAGCTGGGTGATGTGTGGTCTGGGTCCAAGCCCTTTATCTATCACGGCTCGGGGTAAATTTGCAGGGTGTTCGCTAGGCGAAGAGCGCGGCTTGTCTGAGGCCAAGCTGCTGATGGGGATATGGTCCGGTTTACCTTGCGGTGTTGAAAGAGCCTGTGTGGGGACCAGGTCTTGCTGCCCACGCTGCAGGGCATCGCTTTCTGTAAAAACCTGATGCGTCAGCCGGAGATCCAAGAAACCAGACTAGAGGGAAGGGTAGGGGGACATGAGGTTCTGAATGCTTTCTGGTGCAAAGCAGCAAGGACTGGTCAGCTGAAAACGTGCTCTGAGATGCCAACAAAGCATCCCTGTCTCCCAAAAACAACCTCTTGGCACTGACAGCAGCCAGGGCTCGGGGTGCACCCGGGGAAGGCAGTTGGGTAACTGCCAGGACACCTCCCAGCACCCAGGGCTTTGCTAGCTGCCAAAAATGCGTTTCAAGTCCTCCCACACGTGTGATTTTGTGTTGGGTTCCCGTGGCAAGGGTTTGGTTCCCCCGCTACCAAAACCTTGCCACGGGAACCCAATACAAATCACTAAAATCCAGACCCCTCGCCGTGGGTGCCCAATGAGGGTCTGCTGTGTCTCTGAGCACCAGAACTTGTGTCCCTCCCTTTGCCCCAGGGTTTTGGCACAGGCCACTTGGGTACCACCGCCCGATCCACAGCACAGGGATGCCCACCGAGCCACTCCCACACCGGAGGGAAGGCAGCCAAGTGCAGGATGAGGCCATGCCCACCCCGTGGCAAGCAGCCACCGCAGCTAGCCCCAGCCCATCACCGCTGTGCCTCCTGTATGGCGTCTGTCTCAGGCTCAGGGCTCACCCTCGTTAACTATTGGCTTGTGCCGGGGTCAGGATCACCATAAGATGCCCCCTCCAGCTGTTTGGCAGGTGCAGCTGCTGGCCAAGCATTTTTACAAACCCTCGGGCAAACCGTGCTTTCCCGTTGCCCAGCTCAGCCACGCTTAGTCGGGTTGAGTCCTTCCGAGACTCCAGGCGGCATCGCGGCATCCTCCGTCCTGCCGCGGTGGACCAGCCCTGGGCACGCAGTGGATGGGCCCTCACCCTGTACCAGCCCCTCTTCTGCACTCCTGTGTTTAGTTTCACCCCTGATTTTTGGAGGGGTGATTCGCTGGGTGTGGGCATGGGTGACATCTGCCACCCTGCACCAAAATAAAGGTTCATGGTCAGGGACCTGCTGGGAGGGAGAGAGACGGATGTGTGGGGCTCAAAAGCAGAAAAAAAACCCCAAAACTAACAATGCCAAAGTTTCTGGGAAAGAAAAGTGAGGTTTTTCTGCAGTGCTGGGAGGAAAGGGGGACATTCACCTGCTGCATCCTTGAAAACCTCCCTGCGAGGGCAGGGATCTGCCCCGCTTCCTGCTTGGCAGCAGTAACTCAGCGCTGCCAAGCGGGATGTCAGTCCTGAGCCGGCTCGGGCGGAGCCTTTGCCTCACCACGCCGCCGAGCTCTACAGTAATATGTACCCAAGAACCTTCTTGTTCCTGGACTGGTTTTTAAGTAAATGTTTCCACTTTATTAGACAAATAACTCTGTCACCCAGCACAGTTCCTCCCCTTCTCCTTCTCCTGCAAGTCACTCTGGCAGATGCCAGGGCACAGTCGTCTTTTTTTCCAGCACAATCTTGGCCAAAAAAAAAGGAAAAAAACCCACAAAAATCGATCCAAACAATTAAAAGAGAATATAATAGAAATCCCAGGACAGGTCTACCCTCTTGTAACACAATCAGGCTCCAGGAATTCCACCACCCAGGGGCTTCACCCACTTAGTTATACCTGGGATTAAGGTGAAGATGAATAGCCCAAATAAATAAAGAACTTCCCTAAAGCAGTGGGGCTTCTTGGGTTATTTTTCTATTTCTCTCCCTCTGCAACGAAATCAACATGTGCATAGAAAAACCCACAGATTTGGCGACAGAGAGTGCTGTGCCGTGAGGGGCACATGTCCCCTGCAGCGGTGGGGACCCACCGGGGACGGTTTTGCACACCCCGGGGAGTTTTGCTCTGCTCGCTCTGTCCAAATCATGGTCAGTTCCGAATCCTCACCAGCTCCAGGCTGTGCTCATGGCATTCACAGGGGAACTCAACAGGCTCCGAAAGCAAAGCAATACCAATTTTGAAGACTTTGGAGTTTGCCAAGTGGGATTTGAAGGTCTGTTCTTCTGCCCCCATCACACCCCCATCAGGCAGCGGGCTGGGGAGTCAGGTGTGGGAGAGGGTCCCTGTCCCTGTGTGTAAAAAGCGAAACTTCATGCTGGAAGGAGCAAAAGGCAAGATCCGTCCCACCAGATCCAGCCACGGGCAGCATTTGTCCTCCGAAACCTTTAAACTGCCCATTTTCAGGTGTGTGGCTCTTCCACCAGCTCAGTGAAACGGGCTTGTTTGTGCCAGCTCCGACACCAGGTTAAAGCCCATTTAGGGACAACTGTGCCGGGGGGCTGGGATGGCCCCATACAAGGTGGTGCAGGGAAGATCTGCGGGTGTCACGGACCCCCGTGCCGCTTCCCACTCACAGCCACCTTCCTCTGGGAGGAATAGCTGCAGGGAGAAGTGTGAGGCTGCTGGGAAGTGAGGGTGCTCAGCTGATACCCTGCCAAAAATCCGCTGCCAAACACGCAAGGGTGCACTAATACCCTGGCCTGCTGCAAACTCCCTCCTGGGGCACAGGCCAAGCAGGAAAGTAGCAGAGAGTTTTCCTCCTTGATTTTAAAGCCTAAAACCCCTTTACGGGGCTGCCCAAGGGTGCAGGGAAAGCAGAGGGGCAGCATCTCACCAGGGTGCTGAGGGAAGATGCTGGGTCCATCCCACTGGGGTCCCACCCAGGGTGCCCAAGGGATGACACCCCACCATGGTCAACCCCGTGCCCATGGGCACTTTCCCTGGACTCCAGCCCTGGGAGGGGACCTGGAGAGGGCTGGGCAGGAAGCAATAGAGTTTTTCTCCTTCCTCATGACGCAGCAGCGTGAAATCAGCTTTCAGCCCAGCCCTGCTACAACCCTTTGCTCCTTATTTACCCTTCAAACAGGAAAAGCAACTCTCAGTATAGCTCTTCTATGGATTTTCTATGCCAAGCCTCACCGAAGGGCTGCTTTAGTTAACATCAGGCCCTGTGACTGAGCCCACGTCTCACAGGTGACAACTTTGGTGGCTTCCAGGACGGACATTCACCAGGCTGCATCCCTGAATTTGGAAGGTAGGAGTGGATCCCCAGCCCCTGGGTACCGGGTGCGTGGGGTGGCATGTGCCCATCCCATCCCTTGGGGCAGCAGCGGGAAGGGGGGGGGGGCAGACGGACCTCTTAGTTATTGCAAATATGCCTTAACATAGCAAATACCTTTTCATCTGTGACCTGCCTGGCTTTGGCGGGTTACAGGTAAGCCTTACAGCATTCCCTTCTTTGTCCTCAGGGTGACACGTCATCGTCGGCCACCCCCTGGGCTGTGCTGTCCCTCCCCACCACCATGCGGGTGACAGGTAAGGAGGGAGGCAGAGATTTACTTTTCCCTGTCCATGTTTCTACAGTTCTTCTTGCCTCCCTCTCATTTACATGCCCCCTTCCAAGCCCAGCTACCCTGACCCTCCCCTGCCAGGGCCCTGGGAAAGGCCCTTTGGATAAGCACCAGGTTTTTAAAAGATTTGTGTGGGTTGTATTTTTCCCAGTGAAACCCTCTGTGGTTGAGAAGAGATGGCTATTGAGTCGTTCCTACTTCCATAAGAGCCATTCAGCTGCCATATAAGTATATTTTTCTACTCTCTTTCCATGCAGGACTGGAACGTTTTGCTCCGATGAGCGCTGCTTTAAAGCCAAATGCCAATCACGTTTGTGTTAGCAGCTGCTCGGCAGTAGCTAGTGACTAATTGGGGGATAGCAGCCTTCCCAGCGCTGGGAACGTAAGAAATATTTGGATTTACATAGCTTTCTGACTAATTATCAGATTTACTTCAATGCAGAGAGAAATATGCATAGTGCCTCCCAGCAGAAGGGTAATGCCTATCCAAGCATCGCCACACGCTCTAGAGATATTAAGAGATCAGAGTGCTTCAGAGGATGAGGGAGGGAGTGTTAGCAGCCTTCCCACACCCCACAAGCTCTGGCTGTCACCCTGTGCCTGGTAACCCAGGGATGCATGGACCGTGTCCCCAGGAAGCAGAGGGATGCTCCCATCCCATGCTGTGGCTGCTCTCACCTGGCTCCTCTCCCGCTCCTCGCAGGCGTGATCCGGTACGTGGCCCTGCTCGTCACGCTGCTGGGCACATGGTTCATCGTGCGGACGTACTTCGACCACAGAGGGAAAGCCATCAGCCTGCGGAGCTGGCTCGGTGAGGCACCAGCAGGGTCCAGAGGGGTCCAGAGGGAGGGTGTGGGTGGCCCCGTTGCCAGCCAGACCCCAGAGCTGCGTACAGTCGCCATGAACATTTGCACTGGCAGTCCCTGGCCAAGCCTGTAGCCACCAGCTCTGGCCATCAGGGCATGGAGGGGATGGTGCAGTGGGAGCTGCACCCGGGTGGGTGGCTCAGGGGGTGCTTGCAGCTGTGGGGAGCAGTTTTGGAGAGCCGGAATGGCTGCTCCTGGCTTGGGGAAGAGCCAGCAGCTCTCTGGGGTGTCTAACCCTTCTGCTTGGCCCCCACAGGTGCCATCGAGAAGCCCATCAGTGAGTATCACTCTCGACTATCACGCAACACCGCTCCAGTGCTGAGGGGATGGTGGAAGCATGATAGCTGCCCTCAAGAGCCCCCTTCCCGAGGCAAAAATCCCACCCTTCAAACCAGGGAGGAATTTTGCCACTGCACACTCAGCAGTGTCTTTGTTGGGCTCTGCAAACGCACCAACCTTCACGTGGTGCCCCAGCCAAAACACCCCGGGGCCACAGGATACAGCGGGGAGGTGGTCACGCACCACCCGTCAGCGTGGCACAGGTCCCTGCCCTGACCAAGAACGGGGAAACGCCGGGCAGAAAAGCCCCAAGGGGCTGGGTTTGAGTGAGTCCCAGCTCCGAACACTCCCTGGCTCCGAACGCTCCCTGACAAACACCCCTCTGCAATGCCACCCCGTTGTCCACACTCAGAGGGGTACCCAGCACCTCGGCAGGCTTGTCCCACCCCACCCCAAGCCTCAGCACTTTAGACCTCAAACCAGAAGCTGGCCCCAGCCCCAGGACCCTCCTTCATGCAAGAAGCTGGTCCAGGAGTTGCCCCCTGAGTGGATCACTGTGCCCCAGTGCCAGCCCTGCTCAGCCCCTTGGGGACACGGCTGCTGTCCCCCCCTGAGCCAATGCCATGGCTTCCAGCTCCGCTCCTGCCCCGCAGGCCAGCAGCCGCCCCGGCACAAGTGCGGGAACCGGAAGAGCTGCCCCCAGAACTATTTTGCCTTCAAGATCATCAGCGGCGCCGCAAACGTGGTGGGACCCTCCATCTGCTTCGACGACGCGATGTAAGCGGCACACGGCAGGGATGGGGCGGCTGGGGTTGGCCTGGGCTTGGACAGGGCGGGTTTGGGCTCTGCCAAGCACATCCATGGCCATCCCAGTGCTTTTGGGTGTAAAAAAAAATTGGGAATAGTTTTCTTTGCTACCGCTCCTGGGGATATTTTGCTGTCTGCAGCTGCTTTGCCCCGTCCCAGTTTCTGTGGCTCCACCATCTCCAGGGCATCCCAGCACTCAGTGGTGCTCTCTGCTTCCCTTCCCAGCCTCATGAGCACCGTGAGAAACAACATCGGCAGAGGCCTGAACATCGCGCTGGTGAACGGTGAGTCGGGTGGGCACTCACCCCCTCTCCCATGGCGGGGGTCCCCTCCCCCCCCGTGAGGGAACAGGCCCCTGGGGGATTGAAACTGAAAGAGGGGCATTGAGATGGGACATCGGGAAGGAATTCTTCCCGCAGGGGGTGGGAGCACTGGGACAGGTTCCCAGAGAAGCTGTGGATGCCCCATCCCTGGGAGTGTCCAAGGCCAGGCTGGATGAGGCTTGGAGCAACCTGGGCTATGGAAGGTGTCCCTGCCCATGGCAGGGGGTGGGACTCAGGGGGCTTTAAGCTCCCTTGCCACCCGAACTATTCCATGACTCCATGACCCTGTCCCAGGCACCGTGACTGAGCCAAAAGCACATCAGTCTGGTGTTGCGTGGGGTCACAGCCACGATCGTGGTCGCAAGCACGGCCAGTGAGATGGGACCAAACCCCCCCGCGTCGTACACCATGGCTCCGTGGGCTCCACCGAGCCCCATGCCGCAGTAAATCCAACACACTGGGGGAAGAGGGCAGGGTTTTGCAGCAGGAACCCCAAGCTTGCAGCCAGGCAAAGCCTAGAGCCACCCCGCTGCAAACTCCCTGCGCTCTGTTCTGCATTTTGACCTTTCAGGGACAAGCGGGCAGCTGCTGACAGCGGACACATTCGACATGTACTCTGGAGGTAAGCGCGGCTGCGTGGCGGCTCCGGGCCAGGGCTCACATCGGCACTGCTGGCCACCAGCTATTTCGGCTGCTCCTCTGCCGTGTGTTTAGTGATAAAGTCTAGTGGACTTTGACCAGGATTGGCAGCTCGGGCAGTAAAAGCTCCCTGAGGGCACTGAGCCTGGAGTCCTCCTCGTGCATGTGGGGTTGGCATGTCCCTCCTTGTACGTGCGTGTAACAGCCTGGAAACCATAGTTCCACTGAACGGAATAAACCAGGGTGCTGGAGACCTGAGAGGGGTTACTCTCTGCTAATCCTGAGATTTTGCAGCTTTCGACTCAGTGTTTGAATGCTGGGGGTGGCTGAGCAGCAGCCTGTTTCCCTGCCTTTTGCAGGAGCTCGGGGCATGGCAGGTGAGACGTGGGCACCGGGAGCACAGCCTGGTGACAGCAAAGACCACATCCCTGCGCCTACCAGCTTCAAACCATCTTCCAAACAGCCAGAAGATGCCCTCAGGCGGGCAGCACCGGCTCACAGCCCTCCTGGCACTGACTGGTGCTGTAGATCCCACCGTTGTTGCAAAGCTGTTCCCAAACCTCTCCAGAGTTTTGGCAGGACTCCCCAAAATCACACGTGAAACCCCCCTGTAGTGCTTTTGATTTACCTGTTGCTCTTTGAGCTGTTTCAGGGATCCATCACCCTTTCTGCCTCTTGGGTTTTGCAGCCTATTAGTGACCCCGGGGTTTTATGGAGAAGCCCCAATATCGTGAGGTTTCAGGCTGAGTTTGTGAGGGAGGCGGGGGGTGGGGGGAGGCAGCCGGCTCTGATGCCACTAGATGGGGGGTTAGACTCGAGCATCCCATGGACGAGGAATGATTCCCACAAAGGCGGGATCATAGGGCAGGCGACTCTGCAGCCCAGCAGCTTCATTTCTTGTGTTGGGAAGTAAATTCACGTAACCATTTCAGCGTTAGGGAGCAGACTTCAGCTGCAGACCCCCCCGGGGGTTGTGCTGGCAGGAGCAAAGCGCCAGCCCGGGGCATTGCAGGAGAGCCCAGGTGGGAACACACGATGGGAATACAGCATCCCGGAGCCCATCCTTCCCCAGGGCCATGACCTGGCACCAGGTCCCTGCTAACCCCTTTTTTCTTTTCCCAATTCCTCTCCCAGACATTAACAAGCTGGACAGCTACCTCCGGCGGGTCAAGCACGGCACCATCGTGCTGGTGGCCAGCTACGACGACGCTGCCACAAAGTGAGTTTGGCCCCAGGAGCAACACCTGGCTCCCCAAAAACCCACAACTGGGGGGGAGCTGGAGGTGCTGCTGCCAGCAGCAGAGAGGAGGCGGGAGGGGACACCCACCTTGGTACCGCACTAACGCTTTCTTACCTTCTTGGAGGATGAACAACAAAGTACGGGCACTTTTTGAGGAGCTGGGCAGCAGCCATGTGAAAAAGCTGGGCTTCAGGGACAACTGGGTCTTCCTGGGGGCAAAGGGGCTGAAAAGCAAGAGCCCCTTTGAAGAGGTACGTGGTCTTCCCTTGCCACCAGCTCCAGAGGTTCCCATCCTCCTGAGCCACCTCTCTGCAGAGGACGGGGGCCGGCAGCATTATTCCCTCATCAAGCCAAGCTGCAAGTTCAGCCACACGGGAAACTTGCACCGTGGCACCAACCTCCCCGTTCATTCCCTCTCTCTCCTTTTTTCCTGCAGCACATCAAAAATGACAAGCTGACAAACAAATACAGTGGCTGGCCTGAGCTGCTGGAGATAGAGGGCTGTGTCCACAGGAAGATGGATTAGGATTGAGCCCCAGCCTGCTATGGAGGCAAGACCAGTCTCACAGGGACACCAGCCCCCTTATGGGGTCCCCAGCCCCCCCAGTCACACAGCCCAGGGACTGGCCATTTCAGGGCAGGAGCTGCACAGGGCTTGGAGAAGAGCTGACAAGTGGCTGCAGAGCCTGAGCAATGGCCCGGCCAGGTTCCAGTCGAGCTGTCCTCGTCTACAGGTCAACTTGGAGTATTTTATTTTTCTGTCTTTAAACCTAAAGCTTTGTAGGAAGTTTTTCAGATTTCTTAAATAAGATACCGAAGTATAAATCACTGCCTTCTCACTCCCATGCCAAAGCACAATCCACGCTTTTCCCTGCAGACGCGGCGTGCTGTGCCCTCTGCCACCATCACCCACCCCACGGCACTGCCCATAGGTCCTCCCCCTCCCCACGCATGGGGAAAAGTCATGCCTGGGGATGCTCAGGCCTCGGTGACTCCCCCCTGGATCTCCTGACACCCCCCCACTGTCTCCTACAGCCAGAGTGAGGCCAGACAGCCACAGAGATGGCTCCCAGCAATGTAGCTTCATATTTGTGGACCAGAGCGTTTCCCCTGCCCGGGTGCATCTTTCCTGGGTTGAATCCAAGCGAAATCCTCCATGGCATGTCCCCAAAGGTCAGGATAATGCCAGCAAGATGCCAACCCGGCCTTGCCTGGCAAAGAGGGATGGATGGAAGGAGGGATGGATGCGTGTTTCCCAGGCAGCTGAAGTTGTGCAGCATTACCAATAGGTGGGAGCCTTTTACCGGCAGAGCCGGAGCTGCCGGAGCCGTACAGCACACCCAGGCTCTGCTCTAGGATCCACGGCCCATCCCAGGCGAGGATGAGGAGAGGTGCCTTGCCCAACGCAGGCCAAGCCCCGCAGACCTCCTTCGAAGGTGGTTCCCATCCTGCTGCGCAACACTAAGGGGGTCGTGGGGGAGCGTCTGCCCCTCACTCGTGTCCGAGGGCATTCACCCAGCACCGTCCGTGCCCGCAGCCTCCCCGAGCACCAGCACGGCTGGTACCAGAGGAGCTGCGTGGGCTTATCTGTCATCACGGACACGTCTGAATCACATCCAGACTTGCAGTTCCTGTGGGTGGATGTGGTTTTTCCCCCATCCTTTAACACAGACCAGCACTTCTGCCGAACTGGAGGGTGGAGCATTTCTGCTGGAGCCCTTGGAGCTGTGCAGGGTAATGCAGGGCAATCCTGCCCGGCCCTTTCAGCCCCTGACAGCAGGTTTTGCCTTGGGGGGGCAATCCTGCCCATCCCGCTCTGCCCCTGGCAGCAGTGTTTGCGCCAGCACAGCCTCTAACCTGAGTTCCCTTTGGCTGTCTGAGCCCACGGGTCGCCCCAGGGGTGCAGGAGTGAGCAGCATCGGTAGGAAAAGGCCAGAGAGAGACACAGCCTGTCCCGTGCTGGTCATCTTCGGGATGAAACCCCGGATCTAAAACCCAGCACCACCATCCAAAACCAGCAAGGCAACCAGTTTTCCCTAACCAAGGGAAAATCCTAAAATACTGTGTAACACCTTTAAGAATATCCAAAGGCAAAACTGAAATAAAATCCCCAAACAGCCATCACAGAGGAATTCCCCAGTAACTGCAGTATTTTATCCCAGCTTATCCCCCTGCACCTGACCGCTCCGAGGGAAGCCTCCGGAGGCACAAATCGATCCCTGAATCTGCTGCAACAGCAGCGGATAATCCCAAGCGCTGAATCATCCCTACCCGCGGCAGGAGGGAGAAACGGCCCAACAGACACAACAGCCCTCACCCCACACAGCCCTCTGCACCGCCAGCGTAAATATGCCAACTATTTTAAGCCCCCTCAAAGGATCTAGATTGGCCGGTGAGGCAAACCAAAAACAGCCTGAGCGGTAAAGGCACGGGGTAAACCAGCGCACAGCATCGGCTGCGGCCCCGGGACCAGCCAGCCCCTTTCAGCCGCTGGGAACTCTTCCCGCCCTGCGCGACTTACAGCAGAAAGCTGGTTTAAAGCCAAAACAAAAGAAATTTATCTTTCAGCCGCTGCAGGTGAAACCAGCGCTGAGTCTATCGCTGAGCGGCTGCGGTACGCCGCTGTTTTCGATAAAAGGGAGCGCTGAAAGGGCAACTCCTGAGCTCCTTACCCATCGGCCAGCGGTTGAGGAGCGACTCCTGCCCAAGTCACCGCGTCCCAGCGCATAAATCTCAGCGTTTCAAAATTCCAGAATCTGGGAGCAGGGATGTAAACATGGCTTCAGGAGTCCAGTTTCGTTTGCGAGAGACCTGAAAAGGGTGGTGAGCGCAGGGGCAGCAATCCCCAGCTGGGGGTCAGTGCCTTGGCGTGTTGAACACGGTATTACTGCAGCCGGGCTGGCTTGCGCCGTGCCGCAGCCCCCAGAGCCCACAGCAAACCCAAGCCCTGACCCGCCTGGCCTCCCGGGACACAGCTCCGGGGAACCTGGGCTCACGGGGGGCCACGGTGGGCTCCAGCAGCAACCAGGCAGCCTGGGGCGTCTGCCAGAGCAAAGTTTGCAAAATCCAGTGCTGCAGCCGGTGCCAAGAGCCAGGAT